AAATATATATATATATATATATATATATATATATATATATATATATATATATATATATATATATATATATATATATATATATATATATATATATATATATATATATATAACTTGCCACCTTGACCGACCTATAGTTATTGTCAATAATATACTAGTTAATGTTGCGAAAAATAGAACTGCATGTGACGTCATATCGTATGACAAAGTACTTTGAACTTTTAGGTCACGCCATCTTTTCATGTACTGTTTTACCACAAGGTTTTACTGTTCACGTTGTTGATGTTAAATGTAGTATATAAACTCAAATACCAGTGGTTCGCCGAATGATATTCAATAATTATAACAGGTTATGGGCCCGGAACGGCAATTCGGATTTAAAGGAGTTTAATATGGAAAAAATATCGCAAAATCAACATATTCTGGGCTTGTGTATTTATGAAAAGTTGTATTAATGGCGGTCTCAGGAAACGACGAACATGCATCGATGTTACGTATCGAAAAGTTTAGCGGAGAGAACTTTCACCTTTGGAAATTTAAAATGCAAATGGTCCTTGAAGATAAGGATCTTTCGGGCATTGTTAAAGGCGATGAGGTAGAACCTACAGCCGAAGGAACTACTGAAGCTCAACGTCGGCAATTTCAAAGGCGGGAAAGAAAAGCGTTCGCTACGATTTGTTTATCTTTGGGAGATGAACAGTTGTCTTTAGTTCGTTCAGCTACAACAGCTCAATTTTGTTCGAAATTGGAAGGCCATTATGAAGTGAAGTCCTTGGCAAATAAATTATTCTTGCGTAAAAGGTATTTTACTATGTCTATGGGGATTGACGAGTCAATGAGTGAACATGACATCAACAAGATGAAAGAGAGAAGAGGACCAAGTTGCAACGCTATTGTGTAGTCTACCTGATTCATATGATAGTTTAATGACGGCTTTAGAATCCCGTGCTGGTGATTTATCTTTAGAATTTGTTACTGCAAGGTTACTTCATGAGGAACACTAGCGAAAAGAGACAATACCAACCTCTGATTATGGAGAGAAAGCTCTGTTATCAACAAAGTATGATCAAGTAAATCCAAGAAACCCGAAACCTAAGAGAAAGGGTAAATGTCATAACTGCGGAATACCAGGACATTGGGCAAGAGAATGTCGTAAACCGAAGGACAAATCAGGTGAAGTAAAAGGAAAGAAAGACGGTTCATCGTACAGTGCAACTACTGAACATGCATCATTTTGGTCATCAAAACATGTGAATTGCAAGGATTCGACATGGTACATTGACTCAGGTGCTTCACAGTACATGTCATATGATAAGGAAATGATGATTGATTATGTTCATTTTGTAAACCCACAAAGAGTTTGTTTGGGTGATAATCGATCGAGTAGTCGAAGCGTTGGGAAAAGTGACTGTCTGGCTTAATATTACAGCTGAAAATGAATATAAACCGGTTAGATTGGTTGACGGCCTATATGTTCCAGATTTAGCAAAGCATCTCTTCTCGGTAAGCGTTGTTGCTAAGCGAGGATATTCGGTTGAGCTTCAACAGAGTGGCTGTGTCATTCTTGACAAATGTGGAACTATTTTGGGATCTGGTAAAATGCAAAACAACCTATGTCCTTGATATCAGTGAAAAGAAAGTGGACTGTCATGATCTTAATGCTGCTACCAATGAGCATCTGGAGGATTTATGGCATCAGAGATATGGACATTTGAGTGTAAAGAATTTACAATTGTTGCGAGATCAGAAATTAGTGACTGGATTGGACTTCCGATCTACTAAAGAATCTGACTTTTGTGAGGGTTGTGCACAAGGTAAACAAAAGAGAGCACCATTTCCTAAAGAACAAGCAACTCGAGCCAGTGAAATTCTCGGAATTATTCACAGTGATGTTTGTGGACCAATGCAAGAGGACAGTCTCGGTGGTAATAAATAGTTTTGTGACTTTTATTGATGATAAATCGAGATTCACAGCAGTTTATTTCATGAAAACCAAGGATCAAGTGCTTGATAAATTTAAAGAATACGAAGCAATGGTCACTAATATCACAGGAAAGAAAATCAAGAGTCTTCGATCCGATATTGGCGGTGAGCGCACCTCTAAAGAATTTGTTAATTACCTTAAAGAGAAGAGAATCCAGCACCAACTTAGTCTACCTAGAACTCCCCAGCAGAATGGAGTGGGATGAATAGAACTATTCAGGAAACTGCACGATCTATAATACATGCTGGACTGGATACGAAATTTTGGGCTGAAGCAGTATGCACAGCAGTTGTTAGAAATCGTTGTCCTACAGTAGCAGTGGACAATATGACCCCATAGGAATGCTTTAATGGTAAGAAACCGGACGTGTCCAATTTTAAAGTGTTTGGATGCAAAGCATACGTGCATGTTCCTAAAGAAACCAGAAAGAAATGGGATTCGAAGACCAAGAAATGTATATTTGTTGGATATAGTATTTCAAGTAAGACTCAGAAATTACACAGTACATATCCAGGGATGTTTGATTTGATGAAGATGAATTTATTCAACAGAAGAAATTTATGCAAACTGTAAACTTGAATGATTCCCTCCCTGAAGACCAAGAAGAACCACAAGAGAACAAACCATCTTCCGAGCATGTTATTCCAGGAGATCAAGACACAGTTGATCATGACGAAGGTACTGAAGAACCGAGCACCAGTAGAGAAACCGAAGTGGAGCAGCCTACCACGACGTCCAACGCGCAAACGAGAACCACCAGATAGACATGGTGTAGTAATTACTGGCAATTGGTGGCAAAATAATGTTGCATGTATTAATAGTGAGTCCAGTCCAGAAGAGCCTACAACTATAAGGGAAGCTCTAAATTGTTCAGATAAAGAACAATAGAAACAAGCTCTGGACAATGAATATTCAGCTCATGTTAAGAACAATACATGGACATTATGGAATCTGCCTGAGGGTCTTAAAGCTATTGATTGTCGATGGGTATTTAAAGTTAAATACAACGCGGATGGGTCTGTAAAGCGCCACAAAGCTCGTTTAGTTGCGAAAGGATACTCACAAGAACCAGGATTAGATTATGATGAAACCTTTTCTCCTGTAGCGAAGTATACATCTATTCGTTCACTATTGGCAATTGCTAACCAGTTAGATTTAGAAGTACATCAAATGGACGTTTCTACGGCGTTCTTGAACGGTGAATTGGAAGAAGAAATATACATGAAGCAACCAGAAGGATACGTGAAAGAAGGTGAGGAAGAGTTAGTCTGCAAATTAAACAAGAGTATCTACGGCTTGAAGCAGTCATCAAGGTGTTGGTACAACACGATCGATCAATTCTTAAAGAATTCCGGCTATGTACAATCAAGCTCGGACCCTTGTCTGTACATAAAGCGAGAGGGAGATGATATCATGCTTATAGCCTTGTACGTCGATGACTTGATACCAGCTAGTAATAGTAAGAGAATGCTTCATAAAGAGAAAGAAGTATTGAGAAAGCGTTTGGAAATGAAAGATCTCGGTGAAGTTCATTATTGCCTTGGTATTCAAGTAGAACGATATAGAAACAAGAAACGAATGAGATTACATCGATCACAGTGTCTCACGAACTTGTTAAAGAAGTTTGGAAAGGAGGAATGCAAACCAGCTGCAACGCCTGTTGATCAAGGCACTAAATTACTACCTAACGAAGCAGAACCAGTTGAGAAAACCAAGTATCAAGCCTTAATCGGGGGATTAACTTATGCGATAACTGGTACTAGACCTGACCTCGCTCAAGCGTTAGGATTGGTTAATCAATTTTGTTCAAACCCAGGAGTTGAAAACTGGACAGCAGCTAAACGTATTTTACGATACATCAAAGGAACAATTGATTACGGAGTTACATTCGATGGAAACAAAGAAACTGAAGTACAGTTGAATGGTTATGTTGATGCTGATTGGGGAAGTAATCCAAACGGACGGAAATCGCAATGAGGATATTTGTTTACACTGTGTGGAGGAGTAATCAGTTGGGCTAGTAAGAAACAAAGTGTTGTCTCTTCAACGGAAGCGGAGTATGTCGTTGCATCGTTAGCGTGTTAGGATACAGTTTGGTTACGTGTGTTACTCGAAGATATCAGTTTTGTTCAAAACAAGCCAACGATGATCAAAGAGGATAATCAAGGTGCAATAGCTTTATCATCCCAGAACAAAGCATATCGATATAAAACACCATTTCATTCGTGATAAAGTTGCAAAGAAAGAAGTTGTTCTAGACTATTGTCCTAAGGGCAGAAATGTTAGCGGACTTGTTGACTAAACCATTAGGAAAAACAATGTTTCAACGTTTTAGAGAACTTATGGGAGTTAGAAACAATCTTTAGTTTAATCTTGAACGTTTAACGAACAGTAGCGATTGATACACCGGGTGGAAATTAAAGCCCAGCAAATGACTTTCAGACAAGACATAACAAAAATATTTTTAAAAAAATTTATTGGCTAAAGTTTGGTTGTATTGTTCACAACATCTTCAGAGCAATTAAACTTATTTACAGGCGTGTATTATATATATACAAATTTTAAACGGTAACATTATTCAAATAAGCGAATAAGAGGGATGAAAAAAAAACAAACCGCTTAAAAAAAATAATAATACAATAATACAATAATACACGCCTGTAAATAAGTTTAATTGCTCTGAAGATGTTGTGAACAATACAACGAAACGTTAGCCAATAAATTTTTTATATTTTTGTAATGTCTTGTCTGAAAGTCATTTGCTGGGCTTTAATTTTCATGTTTAACGAACACGTTATATATATATATTACAGTTCATATTTTTCGAGAGGGAGTGTCAATAATATACTAGTTAATGTATGCGAAAAATAGAACTGCATGTGACGTCATATCGTATGACAAAGTACTTTGAACTTTTAGGTCACGCCATCTTTTCATATACTGTTTTACCGCAAGGTTTTACTGTTCACGTTGTTGATATTAAATGTAGTTTATAAACTCAAATACCCGTGGTTCGCCGAATGCTATTCAATAATTATAACATTTATAATACTCTAAATTTAACTAATATAAAATATATGTAAAGTAATGTTCAATACTGTTCAATATAAAAGTTTGATCAACCTAAAATCGGAATCGTTATACATAAACTAAAATTAATAACATGCTATAATAATAATAATGGGCAGTCTCCGACAAATTCAAGGAGTAATGTCTGTCAACCATATGTTGTTGTGCCCATAGTGCGTGGGCCATGGGTGTTAAGGTTTCCTTCAAATTTTCAATAGCAAATCTTCATTCAAACAAAGTTCCTGCAGCTTTTTATAATTTTAACATTTCCTGCGGGCAGTGCTCGGCTGCTCGCGTGCTCGCCTATTTTTTCCACCCCTGCAGTTTATTATGGACAAAGATAGCTATAATAACTTGGTATTTCTCACATTACGATTATTCAGATTAAATTTTTCAGACTGTCTTTTAAAAAATTCGTAAGTACACGATACGATTTTCGTTGGCCTATGTTTGTGCTGTGCTGTGCTGTAGATAGCTTGCAGATCTGCTAATTCATTCTCTTCGCTTTAAGACCTATCCATCGTTTTTTGTTTTATATTTGGCATGACAAATTATAATCGACTGATCAATCGAGCTACAATGAATTTCACTTACTGGAATATACATTGAATATCCTTGTGCACCATAGGGATTTGGTTGAGTGTACGTAGGGGTTTGTGGTATTTCGTGTTGACCCCAACTTGTCCTTCTTAACTCGCACACACGACTAAACAACATCTGTGCAGTCCTAGAAAGAATGTTTTTTAAAATAATAATTTGTCTGAGAAGTGCACCTGTTCTGCTACAAGGATCCGCTGTTCAGTAATTATGACATTATATGGGGACTCCAGGAAAAATGAGTAAAAACCTCCTCCCAGGCCCTGCGAAAATTATAAACTATGTTTCGCCTCTTGAAACTACCTGTAAAAGAATATAAAAAGCAAAGACCTTTCATAAAGCCGTAACAGGTTTCACAATCGGCAAATGCCTCGCCGGATGTTAGTTTTTTACAATTAATCACTAAGGATTAGCTTTCATTGAAGGAGGAAAACCGGAGGACACGGAGAGAACCAACAAACTCTACTTACATGAGTTTTTCCAGGGCAGTGAAGTTACCCAACCTTAGTAAATCCAGGTCCTCAACCTGAAATTAGGAGGCTTAACACAGAGGTAAGGGGTGATCAGATTGATTTCATCGTGTCGCACGACTGGTTGTAGTTGTACAATACATAAAAAAGGCACAAGTCAAATCACAGACCTGTAGCAACGTAATAGAATTTACTGTTAATTGAAGCATTTTTACAAACTGTTCATAAACGTGCTACAAGTCTGCTGTAAGGGCATCTTTTTGACAAGAATCACAAAACATGATATTTTTGCGCGTAAATAAAAGCTCACGTGTTCAATGACATTTGCTCGAAACGTCAGACTTGCTTCTACCCTTTTCTAGTAGATTTGATAAAACATCGTATGCACGAAGGTATGTGGCAAGTTTTATATTCTCAACTTGGAGGCTTTTAATTTCGGTATAATATATAATTATTTTATAGAACTGGAGCGAGGGAGATTCGGCGCAATATTACCCGAAGCGATGCTATTTCCCTCAAAACAAAGCCCCTCGTGTTACACGTAATATGAATGTAGCTCTTCCTTCTGGAAAACTCTTACAGGTATAAGAAAGAATTATATTTCAGGTTTAAATAGTGAATAAATAAGTGAAAGAATGAAAGATCCTGTAGAGAATTAGACTATGTTCTACCGTTGACATTTATAAAGTGAGTTAATCGATGCTCTTTCAATTCTCTAGTCTGAAGAGAGCATCGTCAATAATTTTGAAAACAAAACATACCATACCTGTCTACACGTGAATCACTTGCTAACCGTGTTACAGTATCAAACAGTTCATCAGTTTGATTCAATGAACTTCCGGTCAACTAAAAATGCAAATATAGAATCGGTTACAATTCACATTTAGGTGTGACATTTGACGTTTCTGATTAAACAACAAAATGTGAGTAAGATCTTCCTTCCCTGTAGTTAAAAAGATTAATTGATTGTCTAATGTTTCGTTAGTGGGCACTAAAGCCTGGTTCACACTAGCAATTTCGTCGGTAATTTTTCTCCTCCTGGCGGATGTGAATGAATGAGTGACATGCAATAGACTTAGAAATATATAGGTCCAAAACGCGATTCCATACTTTTGGCTGCGAGTTCACTCATTCGCATCAGTAGTCAGGCAGATAGAGGATCAAAATTATGGAAAACTTACGATATCGTGGGACAATTCTATTTTGCCTTCATATTGTGCCCTGAAGGCTAGTAAGTACGTTTCTCTATGTTGGCCGCGTTAACATTTCTTGTGGGCTCCTGCCGACAAGTTTTTCTTCGAATTTTGTATTAATCTCTATTACAGTGAAATTTCCACGTGAAATTTCTGATACATTTCTAATACAAATGACTTGCATCAATAGAAAGCTAACAAAAAACTACATATAAGACAGTTAAATGGTTAGTTGGGATTTCCAAGCGGTTTTCGAGTTATTGCTGTTTCAAATGTGACAAATAAGCCAAAATCTCGCAAAAATCCTGGGTACTAGTCTGAAAATACGCATTCAACAGCTCATAACTCAAGAAGAACTTGAAAAACCCTGGTAACCGTTTAAATGTCTTATATGTAGTTTTTTGCAAGCTATCAAATGATGTAAATCATTTGTGTTAGAAATGTATTTGAAATTTCACATTTTTTAACTGTAATAGAGTTTAATACAAAATTTGAAGAAAAACGTGTCGGCAGGAGTCCATAAGAAATTCTAACGCGGCCAACATAGAGAAACGTACTTACTAGCCTTCAGGGCACAATATGAAGGCAAAATGGAATTGTCCCACGATATCGTAAGTTTTTTCCTTCTATCTGCCCGACGACAAAATTGCTAGTGCATGTAAATCAAATCGACGACAAAATTGCTAGTGCATGTAAACCAGTTTTAGTCCTCGGAAACCATCTTGGATATTCGCTACTACTGACTTTAAAAAAGCTGGACATACAGAAATATATGGTACTGTACATATCAAAATATGTGATCTACATAGTACTAGAACAAGGAAAAGTTACCAGAAATGAGGTGTTGGAGGCACAGTCTACGACTGGTGATCAATTCATGTCATATTTCAGTCATATGGGAAAAGCTACTAAGCTAGTGCTTCCAGTTTGACTCTACATAACACTGCAAGGTTTCTCCGAGTACCTATTGTATACATTCTCCTGTAAAACCTATCTAAGATAAGTATAAAATAAAACAAGACGCTAGCCCAGGCCTTCACACTAGCCTCAAAATGAGGACATGTGCGTATTAGCTGGGGTATAATAGAGAAGGGAGTGGGGATGCAGGACAGCTGGTAGAACAGGTTCGAAACACTTCTTGGTTTATGCCAGAATATGAAAGCAGTCACACATCAGCAGTATTGGCCTTTCGACGTGGCAAAATGCGAAGAGCCAAATCCAGCCATTAAAATATAAACCGGGAAGCTTTTGGTGCATATGTGATTCAGAGCGAAATTTCACTCGGACTCTGAAACACGTAGGAAGCACGCTATACGGATACTTGGACCCGTAAAATTGATTTCTGGTGTATCTAACCTTATAGCGCGCTTAATATTGGTTCGCACGTACACCAGAATTGTAAACATATATGGCTTTTATGTAGCCAATTTTGCATCGTCGCCTTCGAAAGAGGGTCCTATAAAGACAGTTTCAAAGGGCTATCGATTGGTAGTATAGCCAAAAAGTACATATTCAAGAAACAGAAGTTATAATAAGGGACGAAAAGTACGACATATTAAATATTCTGCCGGATTATTGACATTAAAATTTCGGCTATAAATCACTTGCATTGCATTGTGAATAAACGAACATAAGTAATATGTAAAGATAACGATATGTAAAGATTATTGAACGCTGAATCGAACGGTAGTGTTTTTTATTATTGGTGGGTGCATGGAACCGGATATACGGCGCGGCAAACTGGCGGACTTTGCTTTCTAGACAAAGCATTTTCTGTTGCATATCATCCGCTCCTAAAACGGCGGCCATTTTGACCTGAGTCTGCGACCTGTTAGAAGGTCACGTTTGTGTCGCCCAAAAAAAAACAACTAAGGGCCCTGTTCATATGGGGAAAAGTTATCCCGGCTAGCGAGAAAACAGTTCGGCAAGTTTACAGGCGAGATCTTGCCTTGTTATGAAAATAATATGAAATGTTACCGAGATCTCGCTTGTTGACAGGCGAGATCTCGGTGACCGAGATGTTTTTCCCATATGAACACAACATAGCCACAACTTTCCCGCTTAGCGGGAAAACGTTCTGTCGTGTCAGCAACGTTTCGGGTTTTAAAATGTATTTAAAGTTTTTTAACTTTTCCTGCCTTGCGCGTCACACCAGTAACACCGTTTCCAGGTCTGGAAAGTATTAAGATTTTCACTAATGGTACTGTAGATTGTTTCACAGCCTCCCAATCCAAATTTAGTAAATATGCAAGGTTGTTACGCACCTTTAGAAGTTTTCCAGCGCAAATGAGAAGTTTCCGGTCATGACAGAGCAGTAATTGTTTTATTGTATCGGAGACAACTGTCAAAAACTTCGCTATAGTTTCACCGTCACTGGTCTAGTAAATGATGGCAATATCAATGATTATACATTTAAAACAATAATTAAAAACATTTCGTTCCCATTAAGAGCTTATATCCAATACATAAATAAGAATCACTAACTGAGAAAACATGGGGCATTGGTGGCAGAGTGATTAAAACATGTGCCTTTCACCTGTGCAAATGGGGTTCGACTGTTGAAATATGTAATAGTTCTGATTATAATTTCACAGACACATGTGAACCCATTACTCTGGGTACTCCACCTAGAGTAACAGTGAACCCATAATAAGGGACGGTCTGCTAGAGTTGTCCAGTATTAATAATTTCCAAAAAAGTGACCAGTCGATGCATTTTCTGTAACAAGCACCCAACAAACAGCTCTTGATTTTATTGTTTTGATTTTTGGCATCTCGGATCGTAATGTGTAATTTAACTAGGTGTTCTTTAGTTAATGTTAATATATACAGTTAAAATACTCATGAACAATTCATAAACCTTGTGGCAAATCATGTCAGCCATAATATGTCACGTGGAGTGACTTTATATCTGATAAAACACACGTGGCATTATACAATTGTTCATCCTACAGTAATAGTATTCTAAAAAAGAATACTAATGAGACGGCATCTTTTGTAGTCGTATTTTAAGCTATTCAAAACTCTCGTTGTCGTGTTTTATCAGATATAAATCCGAATTATGTTTTTATTTTGTACTGAACAGTATTTATTATTTAATATTCAAAAGTGATTTTTGGTGCCGTATAATGACAACTGTTATTTAATAATAACAATAATAATAATAATAATAACACATTACTTAAAGGACATTAGCAATAAAAAAATAGTTTGTCTCATTCAAAAGAACTCTTAAAATTAGATATTAAACTCTATTACCGATTTGTCATATCTTGCTTAGTTCTCGAAATATTTAGACCGAAATTAATGAGCTTTCCGCCATCTTGGAAAAATTCTTTACATCATTATCTATGGTTTTGATGACGTCAGGAGTTGGGTTAACCATATAAAACTACTCTAAAATGATCGAATAACAATCAAAAATTGTTTGAAATGTTTTTAATCATTTCTAAATTTCTGACAGCAACCAGAAACGACGTTTTGGACCCATATTGATCGCTTACTCTCAAGATAAAAAATTAGCGTGACCCCTCTCTTGACGTAACATGCATATCCTCAATAATCCAAGATGGCGAACAGCTCACTTTTTTCAGTCGAAATATTTTGAAAATTAAGCAAGATACAACAATCTGTTAATAGAGTTCAAAATATAGTTTTAAGAGTTCTTTCAAATGAACTAAACTATTTTTTATTGCCAATGTCCTTAAACAAGGATTTACAGATAAAGCTACAGTACAGCTTGTTTCCAATCTGGTAATATTTAGATCATATTACCTAGTATATACTTTATATAGGCCTGTTGACACTCTAGTGCAATTTTCTCGTTTTGATGCATGTGAACGAGTAGATGAGTTTTGTACTCTCATCTGAATATTCATAACTCATCTACTCATTCACATTCACATTCATCAGAAGAAAATCCCACCTAAAATAAAAGCAAAAATTGCAAGAGCAAACAAGACTTATTGTGTAAAGATAAACTACAGTAATTACATCTACCTGACAGGGTGAAAATAAATGCATTTTATGCCAATTACAAACCTTGTAATTCATTAGTAATTCACCAAGAAATATTGCAACGTTGCAGGCTCTCTCAGGATTCGTTTGAATTACATCGTTGAATCTACTATTTTCACTGCTACATCTATTAAAATTAACAAGACTCATAAAAAATGTTTAAAAATGAACAAAAAATATGAGAAAATTGTCTTATACCAACTTGCGGTAAATATATACTCTAATTTTTATTTAGGTGTTTAAAACTAATTGGTCAAACTGATTCTGCCTCCAACTATATTCCACCGTAAAATCTACATTATATTCATTTCGACATTTGTCTCCCCCAGGGCCTCACTACAAGATTTCTACATAGAAGTGACTAAACGGAATACGTACTGTAAATCTTTAGGTATGTAGTATAAATTATTTCATGAATCATCGTCTATCAAGAATGCTTTACTGAGGTCAGCACCTGATGATATTTGACATGTTGTGCAAAGAGTTGCTCATTGAAAGAAAACAACATACCATATTTCCTCTATAATCCTTACTAAGAACTACAAAGTTAGTGTTCGACAAGTGCACAATATGCACCTTTTAATGACGTGTAGCAAAATATTGTCAGTGCAAGATATGTAGCTAGTAGTATAGGAACTATTTGTTCACCGAATAGTAATTTTATTGCTTTCCCTAATATATATATATATATATATATATATATATATATATATATATATATATATATATATATATGTATATATATATATGTATATATATATGTATATATATATATAGGAACTATTTGTTCACCGAATAGTAATTTTATTGCTTTCCCTATTATATACATATATAGTTAGATTTACTATAGCTAATGAAATGATGACGTAACGCATGCAGCGAAATATTACGGGGAGAAGTTGCTACATTTGGGAATTTTACTCTGATGCTGCGTATAAAAGGCGCGAGTGTCAAGGTTAGGTTATTCTACCGAAGTCAGTCAGGAGCAACACTTGCATACTTTCTTCCAAAGTTCTTTCAGGTATTGTGTGTTTCCTTTTATCTTATTTATCCTCAAGAAATATGTCGGGTTTCATTCCTAATGTTTTGGTATTTGGCCATTCTTTTGTGCGCCGCTTAAACGACGATTTAAATAATGGTTTTGATTCCCGTGCCAAACAAAATTTTAACCTGGCCAATTCAGGCGTGTACGTATCTTTGAAGGGCACGGGCGGTCGAACTGTTAGACAAAGTGTTTAAGTATGATATTTCCTTTCTCAAAAGCTGCAAACCGGATATCGTCGTTTTGGAAATAGGGACGAACGATTTGTCAAACCTTTCTCCGGAGGTGGTCGGTTCGCGGATAGACGATCTCGTACGCTATATGCGTGACGAGTTAAACATAAAGGTCATTGCTGTGTGCCAAGTTATAAATAGGCACATTCCGCATTCCGACGCACCGGACCATGCTTTTAATGCAAAAGCTTCTATTCTGCGGCAGTATTTGTCTGTCGTTTTGGCGAATGAACCTGGCGTATTTCTTTGGGACCATCGTAAATTTGACAATGGTAGAATTGATTTGTTGTCTCTTGATGGGGTTCACTGCAACCCTCAAGGACAGTATATCTTATACAGGAGTTATCGAGGAGCAATTTTAAAAGCTCTTAATATCTTGCACGATCGTTATTAACTTTTTACTTCAGCTGCCTCTTCGCCTTCTTAATTTCTGGCGTTTTTATATTGAAGCAGTTTATTTGCAGTACTTGGATTTTTCCAAGGTTATTGTAATTAATGTAATGTGCATATATTCAATAAAGTCATAAACGACATTAATACAAATCATACAAATGTGATATGATTATCAAGTTATGGTGTAATTCCCGGGGCCCAAGGGTCTGTGTGAATATGTGTCTGGGCTGAGCACTTGCTGTTTGCAAATACCACATTGAGAATTGAGCAATTATATTTTCATGCGAAGGAAACATTCATGAATTTGTGGCTTCTGTTTTATATATTAATATAGTGTGATGTGAGGTACCGGTACTGTATATAGTTTATGTTGTGTACTTGGGGCGTTTGTACAAATGTTAATTGTTCTGTCGTTCTGTTTGAATCAAACCACTGTACAGTATTGTCCTTGAATTTATGCACTTTTAGCATAAATTTAGGCCACAGTTTCTTGGGCATGTGAATATATGCCTACATGGGTTAGGACCGAGGTGTTCAAATGCCCATAGTTCAATTCAATATATGGCGGGACGGCGCAGCAAGTTGTTTTCAGATGGCCCAGTTATTTTGTTCGGCTACCTTTGTAGTATGCCATATTTAACAACAATCGTTTACTATAGAGTTGTAGTGATGTAGATGTTTGTTTGTTGTAAACTTTGAAAGCTTTGTTGTAAACGTTGAAACTTTGTGCCTTGTGATATATTGCCCTATCATGTGACAAGATATTATCAGTGGCTTGTAGTCTGCCCTGTTTGCAGTTTCTCTTTAGAAATAATGCCAAGAACAAGACCAAGTACCCGCATCCAACGGCGTGCAGAGCCTATGGCTGCTCGTCCGAGATCAACAAGAAGCCACCAACCAATTGTTCAGGATCCAGGCCTAGCACCACCTGTGAGTGCCACTCCTCCTGAGGACGTACCTATGGCTCCTACAGTACCAGGAACGACTCCTACAGTGCCAGGAATGACTCCTCCGGGCCTTTCGGATTCCACCATTGCCAGAATTACTTCTGCAGTGACCCAGGCTGTTATGGAGTCTTTGCAAATGCCTCAACACAATCCTGGGACATTGCCGTTGGAATCTAACACGAGGGAGGTACCACTGCAGGGCATTTCTGTGGCTGACGCTCAAGGGCAGGGGCCAGTAGCTGCAGCCATGGAAAACCTTACAGGTGAGGTAGTACAATTGGGAGTAATTCGTCCACACCTCATGGCAAGTTCTGTTGGACCAGGTATATCCAATTTCAATTCTGTTAGTATTCCAATCGATGCCCAGGTCAGCCCCAAGATTAAGGCGAAGATTTGGGGCAATGAATTTATAGATTTTGGGTTACTTATAAACCCCCAAGTAGGCGATACCCGCTATCATCTTTCTCTCGGCACATCCGAGGGTTCAGTGCCAACACTTGCTTTAGAACCCACTACAAAGGCTAAAGCTATTCACAACATTGAGGTGTGGACGACTGCTTTTCAAGTATTTGTTGGGGTTTATACCAGCAAGTATCCGTTGGAGGCCCCAGCACTTATGAAGTATGGTGAAGTGGTTCGGGATTTGGCTGCTCGGGGAGGTAATTGGCAATTTTATGACACCCAGTTTCGCTATTTGAAGCATACCCATGCCAACGAAATGCCCTGGGGATCCACCCATTGGGAATTATGGATCCGGGCACAGAATTTTGCTCAGCCAAAACCAAAATCGCAAAGTTTCAGTCAGCGTGGGCTATTCGTACCTAAAGGGTTTTGCCGGAAGTTTCACCAGGGCCTTGGTTGCTCTGGTCCATGCATTTTTAAGCATGCTTGTTTTAAGTGTACAGGTGGGAAGAAACATCCTGCACACAGCTGTAATTTTCGTCCCTCCAGTTCAACTTCCAATTTTCGTCCCTCCAGTGCCACTGCCAATTTTCAACCCCTCGGTGTCAAACCAGCAGCCTTGTCCCGAGCTCCCAACTCCGGTTCTAATTGAACGAATGCTACCCTTGTTATGTGGATATGATGTGCATGTTGTTTCTTTGTTACATAATGGTTTTACCTGGGGTTTTCCCCTACATTTTTCTGGTGAACGTATTTCTTTTTGTTCCAAAAATCTTGCATCTGCTTATGAACACCCTGAGATAGTCAGTGCTAAACTTGACAAGGAGTTAACAGCTAATAGAATTGCTGGACCTTTTCAAGAACCTCCTTTTCAGAATTTTCGAGTTTCCCCATTGGGCGTTGTGCCAAAGAAAACACCTGGGGAATTTCGTCTAATCCACCATTTGTCATTTCCTCAAGGGGCATCGATCAACGACGGTATTTCATCTGAGCATACTGTGGTGTGTTACAGTCGAGTTGACGATGCAATTTCTATGATCAAAAAACTAAGAAAAGGTTGTTTTCTTGCAAAAACAGATATCAAAAATGCATTTCGTATCATTCCTATATGCCCCCAGGATTATGATCTTCTGGGAATTTTTTGGCAAGGAAAATTCTATTATGACCGTGCCATGCCGATGGGATGTGCATCATCCTGTCGGACATTTGAAATGTTTAGCACTGCACTGCAATGGGTTGCCCAGAAACATTTGAATATTGCGCATCTTATCCACATTCTTGATGACTACCTAATGGCAGCTTCATCATATGACCAATGTTGCACTGACTTGAAGAATTTTTTATCACTTTGCGAGTATCTTGGTGTTCCGATTGCTCCGGAAAAAACTGTCGGTCCTCAAACCACTTTGACATTTGCCGGTATTGAATTAGACACTATATTATTTGAAGCACGTTTACCAGCGGATAAAATAACTAAATCCAAAGCCCTCCTTTCGATGTTTCTACAGCGCAAGAAAGCTACTTTAAAGGAGGTACAGTCATTAATTGGCCTTCTTAATTTTGCTTGTTCTGTTGTTGTGCCAGGGCGGGCTTTTCTGCGTCGTCTTATAGATTTGACCAAAGACGTACGGTGTGCGTCTCATTTTATCCGGCTTAGTAGATCTGTCAAAGCGGATTTGCGTATATGGAAATCATTTTTGGATGATTTCAATGGCCGATCGTTTTTTCTGGGGGATTTCTGGTCTAATTCTGTCCATTTAAATTTGTATACCGATTCTGCAGCTAGCTTGGGTTTTGGAGCTATATTTGGTCAGTTTTGGTGTTTCGGTGAATGGCCTGAGCATTGGAAACATATAAATATTGTTATTTTGGAATTTTATCCCATTGTTTTGAGTGTGCTCATGTGGGGTCATTTGATGCGAAATCAGCGTATTATTTTCTTCACAGACAATGCAGCATTGGTCGATATTATTAATAGGGCAACGTCGCGCGATGTAACAGTTATGATTTTTGTCCGCCAGCTGGTGTTGGCGTGCTTGCGATTTAATATTCTTTTTCGAGCCCAGCATGTCCCAGGGGTTAAGAATAGTCTAGCTGACGCGTTATCCCGCTTGCAGGTTTCCCGATTCAAGC